GAGAGAGAGAGAGAGAGAGAGAGAGAGAGAGAGAGAGAGAGAGAGAGAGAAACAACAACATAGTAGAAAGCTAAACATCTCTGGAGGGAGGCAGGAGGAAAGTGGAATGGTGTGTGTGTGTGTGTGTGTGTGTGTGTGTGTGTGTGTGTGTGTGTGTGTGTGCGTGCGTGTGTGTGTAAATAGGAATGTTTGTGGAATCATCTCTGGAGGGAGGCAGGAGGAAAGTGGAATGGTGAGGATGGGGATAGGGGCTGGACATGATGGCAGGCGGCAGGGAGAGATAAAAGAGAAATCAAGTGTGATTTGATGGGGAGGACCTGCATGGTGTGTGTGGCGAAGAGTAGCATTGTACATGTGTTTTGAGTGTTCTGAGGAGCCCTGGTTTCATGCCGCTTGCATGTGAGTTGTGAGCAGAAGTCATCAATAACTTGGCTCGCTATGCCGAACAGAGGGCCAAATTTCCATGATCTGTGTGGGCCATTGTCCCGTTTGGGTTCCAGTTTTTTTCAAGGTGGGAACAAATACGACTCAATAAGGTGGTAATGGGGTTTGATTGGGGTTTTGGACGTGGGCCAAGACCTAGCATAGTGAAGAGGAAGCTGTTAGGGGTAAGAGAGCTTGGTCCTGTACACTTTTTGGAGGTTCAGTGTACTGTAGGCCTGTACACACTAAGTCGCCCCTTCCCCCCCCTTCCCCCCCCTTCCCCCCCCCTCCCAGTTGTTAAACAGTGCACTTCCCTAACATACTGGGAGAAAACTAGAAGGGCACTTTTATGGACTTAGATTTTTTCTCCCAGTACGTTAGGGAAGTGCACTGTTTAAGCAGTGTCACTAGAAGGGCACTTTCATGGACTTATATTTTTTTACGAATTGGAATCTTAAGTCCATAAAAGTGCTCTTCTAGTGCACTGTTTAAACAGTGTCACTAGAAGGGCACTTTTATGGACTTAGATTTTTTTACGAATTGGAATATAAGTCCATAAAAGTGCTCTTCTAGTGCACTGTTTAAACAGTGTCACTAGAAGGGCACTTTTANTAAGTCCATAAAAGTGCTCTTCTAGTGCACTGTTTAAACAGTGTCACTAGAAGGGCACTTTTACGGACTTAGATTTTTTTACGAATTGGAATCTAAGTCCATAAAAGTGCCCTTCTAGTGACAACGGCTTCTGAGATGGCCAGCTTGCCAAAATGCCCGACTTCCAATGAGGCAGGATTGTGGATATGATGGACGGGCCTAGCTCAGTGGGTGCACACATGAACTGTTGAAATACAGACCTCAGTTTGAACCCTGACTAGTGAAATCAAATAATTTGTGAATTACCTGGGGCTTGCCGATTCAAGGATGATATCTCAAGCCCGTTGCCCTTTTTGTTTCTGAAAAACAAGGATTGTGTGGCTATGTTTGATCTGATCTGTGACTTGAATATTGATTTGGATCTCTGGCTATGACCCACTGGAGCATGTATTTGCAATTTCGTCTCGTCCTACCAACCAAGAACATACACCCGAGGTCCGAGGAAAGTGTCAAAATGGCAGAGTGTACTTTTACCAAGATTTATTTTGGATGGGAAGACTGTGTTTTGTTTTGAAAGACTTCTGCTCAAATCAGCTCGTTTCGGAGCCATTTTTTCAGAGTCCCGGTGTGTATGCTGCTGCGACTCGCGGGAAGTACCAGGGTGCCGTTTTGCTGGACATCCTCGAATCAGTTCGTTTCCCAGCCATTTCTTCAGAGTCCAGGCGACCTGTTCTGCCTGGATGAATTTGATGCTTCGTCCAATAGATGACAAAATACTGCTAATCAGCTTGACCTCAGATGTCGCCTTTCCACCTAGTACCCTCCTGAACGAAGGGATGGTTGTACTCGCCATACCCATGACAAAGTCGTATGGAGGACCTTTCTGACGTCCTATTGAAGACCGGCTCCTGCCTGGTCAATCCAGGAGCCAGTAATTGACATCTGGACAGAACAGACACCTTGAAGTAGCTGGCATGCCATTGTGATAAGGGAGCCCCCTACCTCTTTTTTCTTTTCTTTTTTCTTCAAGGGTCCTACCTTTTATGAGAACCCCTCCCATCCTCCCTCTCCTCACTTCCTTGCGGTGCACCCCCTCTACCTACACTGGTGCTAAGATTGATCAAGGTGTTCATCACTCTGTCCAAGAGTACCCCACTTTTGGGGCTCAGCGTTAATTCTACTCCCACCTCGGTAGGGCATGTCCGCAGCTTTTAACTACCCTCTTTGAGGTTTGTGTTTCCAATCTTTCCATTTGACCACCAGTTGCACTACAGGGACCCAATGGGGGATGAAGAAAAGGGGGGAGAGTAGCTAAATTGGCATGCCAGCTGAAAGAAGTGGAGAGGAATGCCTTCTGAGAAAAAGGAGCAAGAGACGTGACCAGTAATGGAGAAGGGGCTTGGAGGGCCTCGGAGGGGGGAGGAGAGGGTGGGGAGGGGGTGGGGAGGGGGTGGAGAGGGAATGAGGAAAGTCTAAGGGGAGGAGGTGGTAGACATTCAGAGGGCGGAGGTGGTAAAACTGGGATTGTACGTGGGTCGTGCTGGTGGGTCGTGGTGGTTCACCTGAAAAAGGCTGCTGGTTGTGACTATCAGAACCTCGGTTCAGCTGCCAGTTCCGTGAGTAGATCAGTTTATCAGTTTGCTTGTCCGATGATAGACCTATGAACAGTGTGGGGTCACAAAGCTGCCACTACATTTCTTCCAAGCTCCAAATTTTCCATATGAACTCCATATGAAGTGCTTCTTTAGCCTTTGTGCACCTCTGGACCGTGAGCCCTTTCTAAGAATTGCTTCCATGCCAGGAAGATAGCATCCCAGATCTGTTGCAGCTTAGTGTCTAGGCTCTGTATATTTTTCAAGGTGGGGGTGATCTGTTGCACGGACTTCCATTTCCTTACTGCAAATCCCACACGTCCCATATTGTAAAATGCCCTTCTTGACCCAAACCAGTCAAAGAAAGTCATGCTGAAGTGAGAAAAGTTCCCCCTCAGAATCCTTCAATATGTGGATTTCAAAAATGGGTTGTTTGCACACCTCGTCATGATGTCATTGAGATGGAGGAGGTACCTTCGTATGCTGCTTTCTCTCCAAACAGCTATTGACTTTTTCCACAAGAGGCTGCTTACTAGATCCCATCTTATGCTGTTGGAGGGTGGGCTGTCCATCGTGACCTTTGGACGCCCACGAATGAACCAGGTTGAGTTAATGAACCATACCAGCGGGTTGACCGCTTGGTCTGAAGAAACTTGGGGGGGGGTAAGTTTCAGACCGGAATATCAGCCAGAGGTGCTTAAACCACCAGTACTTGGCCCAGCTATTGGCCGTGGAAAAAGAAAGAGTAGAAACGTTTCTAGTCGGACTCCTGTAGTAGCCCGTGCGTGTTCTAAAATTGTGGCGCGTTAAACCACCAGTACCTCCCCGTTGTTTTTTAGAAGTTGCGGCCGTTAACGCGCCGCAACTTTAGGGGGGTCGGGAGAGGCTTGGCATGGCAATGGGGCAGGAAGCTGGTGGCCCATGGGAACCTCCCACAAGGACTGCAAGATGTCCTCGTGGTGTGCAATGTGGAAACGCGCAGGCAGTGGTAGGAAGGAGGGAAAAGAAAACAAAAAAGAAAACGGACGAGGAAAAAAATAAAGAGAGATCATTGCTTTCTTTCTTTGTTTTCTTTTTTTTTTGGAATAATGTATTTGGCTTCACTTCTGC